AGCAGATATTGTATCTAGGACAGCTTTTGGGAGTAGCTTTGAAGAGGGAAAGCGCATATTTGAACTACAAGAACAACAGACGACGCTTACTTTGCAGGCTATGCGAAGTGTCTATATTCCGGGACTAAGGTGAAAATCTTCTCTTTGATTTCCAATTGTATTAATACTAAGCTGATTGGCATAGATGATGTGATGCTAATAAAAATGCTTAACCTTTTAAAGATTATGTCCATACTTTTTTAAAACAAAAATTCATTTACTAACTCCCATTCGTTTATGCTAAAGTAAGAAATGTTGTAGTTAGAAGCTCTAGACAGATAGTTCAGTAAGTAGAGATTTAATTATCTTTGTTGAAGATTCTAGAAAAATATTAAAGATTTTTGTGATTTATTTATTTCCATTTGTATTAGTCCATCATAGGCAATATATATATATATTCTTTCCTTAAATTGTAAATTTAACAAATTTGGTATGTATTTTATCCCTATAAAAAAGGGGGCTGTACACGTGAAGAAGGTATTGAAGAGTTTTCTCTTTATTTTGTAGTCTTTATCTTCCATCTCTCTCTCTCCCCTCTTTTAATCTTGAGGCATAAATCTGTAGATTTCTGTCTAGTGTATTAGGAAGCAATAGATATTATAACAAACAGAATTGGTATCAAACCTACTGGGTCCTAACCACATTTTACTTGAAAGATTGTAGAGTTAATGAGGACGTTGAGGGGTATTACTATAGATAAAAAGAGGGACTAATTAGAGTCTGAATGGGTAAGATATGACCACGATGATTTCTTGACCAAATAGTGTCATCCTTCCAAGTCAGATTTATAAGGCTAAGCATGGTGCTCATGTGCCATGACCCTTGCCGTTAGAATCCCATGGTACATTTCAAACTCTAAATGACCAACAACTAAGGATTATCGAAGTAACCTGATGAGCAGCTTTAGATCACACTGAGTGTTATATGGAGTCTCCATCCAGGACTGAGAACTTCTTGGACATGTGACTGGAACGTCGAAATTGGCCAAGATTTCTATTTCCTGTTTGCTATGGGATTTGAGAGAAAAATTACCTGCGGGCAGAATTAGCTATTAACTCCAAGGGCTTCGTGTGCTAAATCATGCATATTAGTTGTAGTTTCGAGCCTTATCACAGGGATCCATTGACAAAAGACATGCAGATGCGGAGCATGACCAATTACTTAATGCCTTGCACAGTTGTGGATTAACCTCTGAATTTGGAATCACTCCTTATCTATCCAGAAATCGGAATTGAACCTAATTTACAAAAACACCATACCAAAGGAACTTCAATCCCCAAGTTGAAAATATGAGCAGACAAACTAACGAGACCTGAGATGAGCAGAAAGTTACCAGCTTTAATACCACCTAACTTGATTTTAGGAAGTTCTATCAGCATGAAACAAAACATTTAATGTCATGATATCTGATAATTAATCAATGACAATGGTATTTTACTAACTATGACATTCATGACTGTTTTTGTCAAATCATATGCAGGTTTCTACCAACTAACAGAAACAGAATGATGTGGAAACTAGAGAAGGAAATTCGGGATTCAATAAGGATATTGATCGTATCAAATAGCAAAATAAGAGAGAACTCAAACAATCTTCTGTCTCTGTTAATGTCTGTCAATGGCGATAATGATAAGGATAACCAGGGGTTAGGGGTGGAAGAAGTTATAGATGAATGCAAGACATTCTACTTTGCAGGGAAGGAGACAACTGCCAACCTTTTGACTTGGGCACTTCTGCTCCTAGCACACCATCAAGAATGGCAAAGTAGGGCACGAGAAGAAGTCTTTCGGGTTTGCAAGAACAATGAACTTCCAGATACAGAGAACCTAAATGATTTAAAGATTGTAAGTTTGATTTTTCCTCATTTCCCCCATCCCTCTACAGCATCGTTTAAATAAAAACATGCATCCCCTCTCTAACAGCTTAAGCTAATAGATGAGGTGGTTACCATTGTATTTCACTCCACCCATTTATGAAAATTTGTCCTCTGACAGACCTTTAAGACAGTAGAGTGCACGTTGTGGGATGCGTGAAGAAAACATTTAAATAAATGCATTGATCTCCTCTCTTACAACTTGAGTTTAGAGCAAGATGAGATGATTTATTCCGAGTAAACGAACCTTTTTACTGTTACAACTCTTCCACTGAGCTTTGCATTTCGTCGAACAGGTAGCATGCATACTGAACGAAACACTTCGACTCTACCCTCCAGTTGTGATGTTGATGAGGCAAACATCAAACAACATTAAGCTGGGAAATCTTGACGTTCCGACAAACACGCAGTTCAATTTGCCAATAGCAGCTGTCCATCACGATCCCTCGATATGGGGAGAAGATGCAAATGAATTCAATCCACTGAGATTTGCTGAACCCCGCAAACATTTGGCCTCGTATTTCCCATTTGGTTTAGGCCCCAGAATCTGTGTTGGGCAAAATTTAGCCATGGTTGAATCAAAACTTATCTTGGCTATGATCCTCCAACAATTTTCTTTTGCAATTTCACCATCATATGTTCATGCCCCAATTCTCTCCTGGACTTTGGAGCCTCAGTATGGTGCATACATTATTTTCAGGAGGATTTCAAGCTGAAGCTTTTCGCAAAATTGCTCAATCTTCATAAATAATTTGGCACTGTATAACGTCATCTTTATGGTGAGGGTTTTCCTATAATAGATTTCGTTGAACCATGCAGACACATATGAATTATAATTTCAAGTATTTATTGATGTTTGCAGTAAAGTTCATGTCTGGAATGTAAGTCACATAGTTGCTTTTAAGCACCATTAAGATTAGCCAAACATGCTACCTATTCTCACTCTTTCTGCACGTTGTTGCAACTATTCCATTACGTTAGTATAAAATTTGAAATTTGCCTTCATAATGTTTATAGTGATTTGGTTAACCACCAAATATTTGATTATTCGGATAAATTTATTTATTCAAATTTTTAAGAGCATTACACCTGTAATTTGCACGCGACCATGTGTGCGCCACCTCGGAAGCAAAGGCCATGTAAGCTAATGTCAACTTGCCACGTAAACATTCTGATAGGCCACCAATTAACGTGACGTACGCAAGATGTGATCAGGTGAAACAGGGCAGCGGCAGTAAAGGAAACAAATTAGTGCAGCAAGAAGGAAAACACGTAAGCTTGCAACCAATAGCATGCGCAGACCGTTAAGAAGGAAATTCTAGAAGAATACCAACTATTATAAAAGGCAGGAAAGGAGCAATAACAAAGGCAGGAAGACTCTAGCAAACCTGAGGAGAGAAGAGCCTTTCGTATATCTCAAATATCTTGTAATTTTTTATTTATTAGTCAAAGTTGATTGTAATCAATCCTTTGAATTCACTCAGATTTTTAGTGCTGTTCTGCGTTAAGTCTCAATTTATTCCTTCCTGAATCTGTCTTATCAATCTGGTATCAGAGCACCTTCCTGGAGATGACACTAGTCGACCGCGTTGGGAGCATTGAAGGACGGATGGATGGACTGCAGCAGGGGTTGTAAACGAGTCTCGACTCCCTGGGATCAGATTTTGCGGGGGCAAATGTCAGCCATGATGGAAAAATTTAACTGGATGATGAACAAGTGGGAGGAGCAGGAGAGAGGACGGAAAGGAAAGATGGATGAAAGGGTCTCGACATTGGATATGACCCCCAGTTCAGAGGTTAGATCGAAATTGATAGAGATCAGTCGAGGTGTGGAGGGAGGGTACTAGATATATGAGTGGAATATGGAGATCGGATCAACGAAATTGGAAGCTGGAGCTATTTGTGTTTGATGGTAATGATTCGGATGGTTGGATCTTTAGAGCAGAGCGATATTTTTCCATCAATCAGATGCGGAAGGAGGAAAAATTGGAGGCCATTGCGATATGTTTGGAAAGGGAGGCACTAGCATGGTTCCAGTGGGAGAAGAAGAGGTGAAAACTGCAAAACTGGAAGGAGCTTACAATGAAATTTAGGTTGGGAGGCACATTTTGTCAGGGTGACGCTACCCTAGGCAAAACCTTGGTTTTTATGAAATCAATGATTAAGGCATTTAGAGAAAGTAGAGAGGGAGTATTGTTGGAGCTAGGAAGCATCATTGCTGAGGAGTTATAGATGAGTACACCAGTAGCACTTGAGGGGTGCTAGCAGAATTCCTTGGGGGTGTTCGAAGAACCCCAGGGCCTTCCACCGAATTGCAGTCGGGATATAGTGTTGCAACCAGGGATAGCACCTGTAAATGCAAGGCCGTATGTGCAGAAAAATGAGATAGAAAAATTGGTTTGGGAAATGCATGAGCCCTTTCTCCAGTCTGGTATTATTGGTCAAGAAAAAGGATGGGAGTTGGCGTTTTTGTGTAGCCTATGGGCATTAAATCATGTAACAGTGCCGTACAAATTCCTGATTCCAATTATTAAGGAACTCCTTGATGAATTGTACGGAGAACCAGTCTTTTCCAAACTAGATTTGAAGTCCGGATATCATCATATTCGGGTTATGGAGGGAGACACTCGAAAACAGTATTTCGAACTCACAAAGGGCATTATGAGTTCCTTGTCATGCCGTTCGAACTGACGAATGCTCTAGCCACTTTTCAGACACTTATGAATGAGGTCTTTAAATCACAATTAAGATGGTTTGTCTTAGTTTTCTTTGATGATATTCTAGTCTGTAGCTGTGATATGGAGGAACATTGTGAGCATCTTAAATGTGTGTTAACCTTGCTGGCTAACAATCAGCTGTATGCCAATAAAAAGAAATGTTAGTTCGGGCGGATGGAGATAGAATACTTGGGGCACATTATATTGAAGAAGGGAGTAGCAGCTGATCAAATAAAAATTAAGGTAATGTGTGACGGGCCAAGCCCTCGAAATCTCAGAGATCTTCATAGATTTTTGGGCTTAACCGAATACCATCAAAGGTTTGTGAAGGGATATGGAAAACTAGCTTGGCCTTTAACTGAAAGGTTGCGGAAAGAAAACTTTTACTGGGACAAGGTAGCTAAAGCTTTGCTCCAAAAATTGAAAGAGGCTGTGGTTTTGGATCCAGTGTTAGCCCTACCAGATTTTCGTAAGTAGTTCATTGTAGAGACTGATGCTTCAAGGTATGGACTTGGGGCAGTTTTAATGCAAGAACAGCGTCCTACGGCTTATTTCAGTCATGCACTAAATCCACATAATTATAGCAAGTCAGTATATGAAAGAGAGTTAATGACCATCGTTTTTGCTGTTCAAAAATGGAGGCATTATCTCTTGGGATAGAAGTTCATCATCTGGATAAAACAGAAAAGCTTGAAGTTTCTGATGGAGCAAACAGTGGTTAATCCCGATTATCAAAAGTGGTTGGTTAAGCTAATGTGGTATCACTTCAACATATTATCGACCGGGAATCGAAAACAAAGTAGCTGATGCGTTGTCAAGGATAAATTCGACGATTGAATTGATGGTGATAACAGTCTCGAAGGTGCTATCGCTAGAAGGGCTAATAGGAGAGGTTAGTGCGAATGAAAGCCTGTGAAAGATAGTGGATGATATAGAGGCAGACCGACTACCACATCCAGGATATTCTATGTCGCATGGGAAGTTATTATACAAGAGGTGGCTGGTGATACCAAAAGAGTTTGCAAAAAGGCCATGATGGGAACATTGGTGGACACTCCGGGTTACTTAAGACCTAATGGCACTTAGCAACCAATGTGTACTAGAAAGGGATGAGGAAAGAAGTCCAAAGGTACATCAGCCAATGTTTAGTATACCAACAAAATAAATACTTAGCCTTGTCGCCAGCAGGTCTCTTGCAACCGCTACCTATACCTGATCAGGTATGGGAAGAAATTGTTATGGACTTCATCGAGGGGTTGCCTAAATCTGCGGGTATGGATACAATCTTGGTGGTAGTGGACCGACTAAGAAAGTATGCACATTTCTTGCGTTTGAAGCATCCTTTTACAGCTAGTATGGTGGCAACCTTATTCATTAAATAGGTGGTTTGCTTACGTGGGGTGCCAAAATCCATAGTGTCTGATCATGATAACATTTTTATGAGTAAGTTCTGGGAAGAAATATTTCACCTACAGGGCACTAAACTTAATAGGAGCACCGCATACCACCCTCAGTCCGATGGGAAATCCGAAGTGGTTAATTGCACGCTAAAGACATACTTGCGGTGTTTTGCTTCCACCAAACCCAGGGCTTGATACAGTTGGCTGTCATGGATAGAACTATGGTATAACACTTCTTATCATGTCTCCTCTAGAACCATCCCATTCTAGATTGTTTATGGAAGAGAGCCACCCCCGTTGATACGATTGGAAAAGGGTTCGACCATAGTCTTAGCCGTAGAGCAACAATTGTTGGAAAGAGACCTAATCTTAGAGGAACTCAAGGAGCAATTACTCAGAGCACAGTTTGAAATGAAACACAGTGCCGATGCTAAACAATGCAATGTATGTTTTGAGGGTGGTGACCAGGTCCTCCTCAAGATTAGACTGCATAGAAGAAAATCCTTAGCCACACGTCCGGATGAGAAGCTAGCTCCAAGGTTTTATGGGCCTTACACGGTGATACAAAAAATTGGAAAAGTGGCATACCGCCTTAATTTACCTCCCACGGCCCACATTCACCCGGTGCTCGACGTGTCGCAGTTAAGAAAGCTATGTGAACGTTCCAAATAGTAGAGGAATTACCTTCTCAACTAAATGAGGAGTTGGAAATGCTGGCAGAACTGGAGGCAGCACTAGGAGTAATACTAGCGACTGCGGGCAACCTTCGTGGCCATGATGTTTTGATTCAATGGAAGGGTATGCCTCATTTAGAAGCAATGTGAGAACCTTATGATTTGATTGATCAACAATTTTCCTCCTTTCACCTTGGGGATAAGGTGAGACTCGAAGGGTGGGATAATGATAGTCCACCAATTAACATGACATACGCAAGACGTGATCAGGTGAAACGGGTAGGGGCAGTAAAGGAAACAAATTAGTGCGGCAAGAAGGAAAACACATGAGCTTGCAACCAATAGCATGTGCAGACCGTTAAGAAGGAAATTTTAGAAGAATACCAACTACTATGAAAGGCAGGAAATGAGCAATAATAAAGGCAGGAAGAATCTAGCAAACCTGAGGAGAGAATGAGCCTCTAGAATAGCTTATATATATTGTAATTTTTTTTTAGTCACAGTTGATTGTAATCAATCCTTTGAATTCAATCAGATTTTTCAGTGCTGTTCTGCATTAAGTCTCAATTTATTCCTTCCCAGATCTGTCTTATCATGTTCCTTCCACAAGCTTTGCTCAGTAGCTGTGATGCAATAGAATTTGCTAGTTGAACTCCTGCGACAACATCATTTGTGCTTGCAAGTCTTCACCTAAGAGTCACCCTGATCTAGCCTCACTCCTTCGTGAACCTCAGTTTAAGTTCAAATGATTATGCTCTTACATGAAGATAAGGTTTCTACGACCTTGCCCTATATTTCATTATTTGTGGTTGTTTCATCTAAGTCAAGGTTTTGGGAGTAAGAGTTTTGGGAGGTCATATTTTTGTATTTGGGTGGTCGGAAACAATGTCTTTTTTTTCTTTTTTTCTTTTTGGGTAAAGTTAGTTGGAAAATGTTCAAAAGCTCTAAAAGAAGATGAAATAGTAGAAGAAAATCTTGAAAGTGAAGATAAAAGTACCTAAGTTCCTTTTTTAGCCCCATTCTCTAACAATTTATTTTTCTTTAAACTCATTTTTAATCCCACATTTTCCTAATAAAATAATTTTACATGCAAATTCAAAATATTTTCCTACTATTAACTATATAAAAAAAAAATCACTACTACAAAATTTATTTTCCAAAAGAATAGGGTTCTAACAAACTCTAAATATAAAAGAAAATGACTAGAATATATATATATTTATATACACACACACACATATCAAAGTTTGGTTGGAGATGATGAACAAGTGAGAAATAAGAGACCGAATGTGCCTTCTATAAGGTTTTTGAATGATAGATGTGAACCACTGGATCTTAGGATTGGATCATAACCCTTAATTAACGGGAAAATTTACACCCTTGAATGTAGAGAGGCAATAGTCTCCCAATCGAAATTAATGAACTAGATGCTTCAAGCGATATCACGTCCACGTTGATCTTCCGTAACGCAAAAGCTTGGGATGGTCGTAATCATGTCCTTAGATTCTATAACTCCTCACACCTTTCTACATTACCTTTGGATTGCTGCCACATGACTCACATTTTTGAATCGTTAGCATTATCAACATAAGTCCTCCACCTTGTATGAGTATCTGACTTGGATTTGGGAGACTATTGCTACACTTTGTCATAAAAGGCATTCGTCACCAAAAAGGTTTTGCTACAAATGGCCACACTTCAATAGCAGTACCAACCAATGCAATATAGACCTGCATGGGCCCCACCACTTGAATGTAACTAATTTTTTTCATAAGGACAAAATTTTACGTTGTCCTTGGTAACCCTATTCCTAAGCCCTCTACCTATAAAGCTTGAACTTGAATGGTTACAGTAGTATTTCTTGCGAGGGCCATGTGTGCACTACCTAGAAAGTGAAGGCCACGTAGGCTAATGTCAGCTTGCTACGTGGATGCCTTACTCGCTTCCCACTAGCTCTATCAAATAGTAACAATTGCAGTAGAATTTGCCAATCGAGCACCTATAAAAGCACCATTCTAGCTTGCTTAGTCATCTGAGCATCCCTTGGCGAACCTCTCATAAGTTCAAATGAAAATGACAAACATGGAAGGGTATAACGACAAGGGCTAGTAGAAGAAGCTCTTTTCATTGCACATTTAGTTTCTATACTATAACAAGTTTGGAGAGTTTGAGCGTATGTCAACGAATCTAATTGATAAGGAAACAATCTTATCAATCCCAAATATCTGCCAAGATCGTTGATGGTTAGAGAAGACCTAGAAAAACTTGAAAGTTGAGTAATTTTGTTCAAGAAAAATATGAACAAAAATTCTCAATCAATGAACACTGAACACATGTAAAATTAGGTTTGCAGCATCGTTAACCTAATTTAACCTAGAAATTCATCTATAAATACACATTTGTAGTACAAAGAAAATCTATGCAATTCTTGAAACCCTAGATAAAACTCTACATGCTTGTCTCTTTAACACACTATTTTTCTTGATCTTATAATTTTCTGCAATTGACTTCATTATTGAAATGTCAAAAATCATTAGCCTTTTTTCTTAAAAAATGGTGAACTTAGTGTGTTCACAAAGTCAATGTGTAGATAATACACATGTTGGCAAGGATGTAGCAAAGGGCCCATTAACAACCAGGTCATACAAATTTTTAAGGTCGACAAAAAGTATTTTGATTAACTTATATTATGTTTTTAGATTTTTTTTTAACTTTCATCGTCCATAACAGTAAATTGAGACTTTTAAAAACTTTTGGAAATTTAAAAAGTTTAGGTGTATTCAATTGAAATTTTTAAAGACTCTAAAAATTTGTGTACTCAAAGAGACTTGTGAAAACTTTTAAAAAATCTTTAAAAATCACGTGGTATTCAATTGAAACTTTTTCGAAGTCTCTATAAGTTATGTAGTATTCAATTGAGAATGACTTTTAGGAAATTTATAACTTGCTAGACTTCTAGAGACTTTTTGGTAGATAATATAAATAGGAATCAAAAGAAATCTCCCATCCGTTGAGAGATTTCTCAAACCAAGCCGGCTTCTTCTTTTCTCTTTCACACTCTGGGGTTTTCTCCATCTCTTCCAATCTGGTAAAATTTGCTTTGAATCTTCATTTTGAGTTTTTCTTTACTGATAGGGTACCTCTCTATGAGTTTTCTCTTTGATTTTGATGGGTAAAGATGACTGGCATTTGAGTTTATTTCTTGATTTCATCCTTCATGTGTAAAGAATTGAAATTTTGGTGATGGGTTTCTGTTTGGCATTAGGGTTGCTATTATAGAGATCAAATGTTGTTTGTTATTGAATGCAATTACTGTAAGTGGGTGTCTGGTTTTTAAAGATATGTTATTAAGTTGGTGCTTCATAATTTCATTTGGTTGTTGGTCGCATGGATTGTGCATTGG